CCCCACACCCACACCCACATCCACACCCACACCCCACCCACACCCACACCCCACACCCACATCCACACCCACACCCCACACCCACACCCACACCCACCCGCGTGCGTGGGAGCTCAATATTCAGAGTTGGCATTTTGACGTTGACTAAGAACTTGTCAGTTAAAAACTTTCATATTCGTATTGAGAGACCATTAAAACCGTGAAAAATGAATAAAATAGACTAACTACAGTTCTTTATATGTTGCTTAGAAAAACAGTGAAAAATAGTATAGAAGAGTGATCCGAAACCAATAGCCTTTAATAACTAGTTCAGGGTCATTTTAAGGCCGTTGGTACCAAGAATTTGTTTTAAGTCGACTGTAAAAGTCCTCTTCTCTTGGCCATAAGAGCACAGTCATTTAGAGAATTTCATTCATAAAATATTTGAAATAAGCAAGTTTGCAAATAATCATGCATCAACAGATTTCAAAGCTTCCGGCTGCTCAATCAACTCAAATTCTGGAATATAATACTAAAGAATATATCAGAGTTTTATTAGTATTCATTTTTGTGAATTCATCAGAAAAATATAAAAGACAAGCATCTTTTATGTTCGTTGTCTAACATGTATTTTCATTCATTATTTATTGATTCAAAGTTTTGAATATGATTTCTTTGAAAATCAAAACTGATCTCCATCTATATTAGTTTTGTTCGTTTAGATTGACAAGAATATTGACCACTGGCTCGCCTTTATAATCTTTATATGGACGTAATAGACCATCATCTTTCTTCTTCCATAACCAGGTTGCTAGATGAAGAATTGTCATTTCTTTTCCATTCATTTTTTAACATACATATGAAGTGTTGCTGAATGACCTATTTGTATAAATACATATTGAAATCCTTGTGTATCTCGTGCATAATTACATAAATGGGCACGTAGTTTAGCAGCTAAACCTTTACCTGCATGATCGAATCGTGTCGCACCAGCTGAAATCTTTAAAACCATATTTGGTTTTAATTCTTTGCCAAAATTATAGTGAACAAATTGATTAAGCATTTCTGCATATAAATCTTGCACTGGGTCAGATGGAGGACTGAATGCATCATATGGATGTTTTTTACAATGTAAATATAGGTCAGTACCTGTAATTACTGCAACAATATCATTTGTTGGACGATGTCGTATTAGAAATGATAATTTTTGATCAGGTACATCGATCATTAATGGCTAAATCCGTTGATTAAAATATTCATCGACAGTTGTGTGACAATAAATCCTCAAAGGATTGTGTGAAGTCAATTCTTCCGAAAGTAGTTTAGCACATGAACGAGCATCTATTTCATTGTCGATTAGGAGAATTTCATATTCATCGCTACTCGCCATGCGACAAAGGAAAAAAAACAGAATGGATATAAACGAACTATGAACACCTGTATTCGGATATCAAATCAGTGTTTTTCTCGTTCTGTTTTACGACCTAAATTTAATAGTGTGTATTTGTCAACTTCACCAATCAGATAAATAATCAATTAGCTAACTGAACATACATTTTTAGATAGTAGAAAATGCAAATAAAAACGATAGAAAACGATATAACATAGGCTTTTGGAAGAGCACTGATTCAATCAGAATAACTTAATCTTATCAGCTTTTTGTGATGTAAAACACTTGAAAGCACGGACGGAGATCTTATTTTACTCTCCATATCCATGTCGATAAATATCGATTAACCTTCATGTCTTTATCAGTTTAACTTTTTGTGCTCATTAGTTACTGATCCATCTATAAAATATCGATATGTTGATATTTAGGGTGTGGGTGTACTCGTGCGTGGGCGTAAGTGTTTATATAAGATAGACATACCCGCACCCACACCCCACACACCTACACCCACACCCACACCCTTGTTCTTCAACAATATTTCTTTTATCATTTTCATCCATATCATATTCACGTTGTTGAATTGTTCTACATACCTGGTTCTAATTGGTTTTGATATATGTTTAAATTTGCTTCTATACGATCTCATTCATGTTCTAATAAATTTAAATTACATTAAATATCTCCACTTTCTTCTTAATTATTTCATATTAATATTAATAAACATAAACTATGTTGATTAAGAATTTCTTGAAATTGTATTTCATTATTTGAAAAATCATAAAACATAGTTAATTATATTTTGCTTTTTCGTATTCAATATGTTCAGGTAATGTTGAACATGAACGAATTTGTCAGAATTGTTTTGATATATTATTAAGAAATATTAGAAGTTCATTATATTGAGACCAAATTGTGTGAGCATATGTTTGAGTTAAAAGAAGATTTTTTTTCTGTATAAATATCATTAGTTTGTTTCGTTATTAATTAACCAATGATCATTCACTTGAGCAAATTTTCCATCAAGAGTGAAATTTAAAAACGAAATTATCTAATAATGACAAAATTTTTCATAGTCTGAAAATGTTCGTAAGCTCGAAATTCTTACTAATGATCGAGATTTATCTCTTAGTACAGTAATAACAATCTCCAGCATGGTTCAGTAATTCTACTAAAAAAACCTTAGTATTCATGATAATGACAACATTTCAATCAATAAGAATAAACAGTACGAAATGGGGCGTACACATGTATATTTGTGAGAGCGATTCAGTCACAGATATCTATTTGATAAAAACTTGATTAAATTAGAATTAACAAATGGACAACAAGATTTAACAGTATTTGACTTTGTTTTTCCAGTATTTTTGCATCGTATGTTTTGTTACTATATATACTATACTACAAAACAAGCATAATCCACATCCTATGAGAATTGTTGATATTCATGAAAAAAAGAAAGACAGAAGGTGTTGGCGAAGAAGAGACAACTACCCACACTTTCGCTCTAAAATCGATTGCAAAAAGTCTTAAGTGACTAAAATCTGGTTTTTTTAAATTAGATTTATCAAAGAAAAGCGTTTTTTAATCGATCATTAGTTGGTAATCGTTTGAAATCTGTGATTCATTCTTCTATTTGCGCACATGACTATATATTTATATTCATCATTGTGGTAGCCCCGATTTACCTTTTTCTCTTCGTTCTCTTCCGACTTTTTATGCACATTAGCATTCATTTTCCAAGTATATTGAGTCACATATACACTCCGAAGGAGTGCATGGCTTCTGTGATTTAAATTGAGTAATTTTGGGGTGTGGGTGTGAGTGTGGGGTGTGGGTGTGAGTGTGGGGTGTGGGTGTGGGTGTGAGTAAGGTAAAGATCCACACCCACACCCACCCACACTCACACCCACACCTGCACCCACACCCACATCCGCACCTACACTCACCCACACCTTGGACAAGAGAATAAAATAGTCGGTTTTCAGTGCAAACTAAATTGGAGAGGAGAAATCAGCAACAAGAGAGGTAAAGAAACAGAAATGAGTCAATATACAAATAAACATCACCATGAAGGGGACACATATAGAGCACGCTCACAACTTCCTTTATTTTTCTTTACTTGGTATTGGTTGTTGAGAAGGATGACGATCAAAAAAAATTTGTGATACAGAAATGCATATTTATAAACACGTCACTCACGCACTTCTCATCAAAGTAAGAATCAGTTCCCGTGAAAATGTTTAGCAATCGTACTCTGTTGTGGATGCTTGGTCTCCTCGTAATAGCTGCCGTCATGAAGAGCGATCCTTTATTCACTATACATCGTCGTAGTACTCAGGTAATATTCAAAATTAAGCTTCTGCAGTATTGCAAATTGTATCCGTCTTTTGTTGTCATACTTTGGATTAGACTTACTATTTATTACCAAAATCTTGCTCTGGTTAAATGAAGTGCTATTAAAATATTCGCAGCATCCATAGAATTCGACCTTTCCGAAAAACATCAATTGTTGCTTAAACTATGCTGAGTTTTTCTATCGACATCATCTTAATATTGATTGCACTAAACTATGGAAGAATCAAAAATAGTTCAAATCTCGAATTTTATTGTATACAACTAGTAACTCTAGGTATTTCACCTGTTTAGGAGAGCAGAGTCGGATAAAGCTGTAAGCCATTTGTCGGTACAAATGGATGTTGAGTTAATTTATCCTCTTCGATCCTTTCAGACGCTTTTGTATGCAAATCCATTGACATGTAATACAAACATGTTCGATGAAATCTTGATCACTATTCCAGTTGTTCTTCTGCATAGTCTTGTTGTTTTCGTGATATAAAAGAAACATCAAATCTATCTAGGATGATCCTATCGAAGAAGAGGATCGTAGAATTTATCACAATTTGATTCAATCAATTTGGAATGGTGTTGTTCGTTCTTCGCCCGAACAGATCAACAATGAATGCATCGAAATTGTCAATACGGTAATTGCAACTACAATCGATTGTTCAAAAAGACTTGCCCTCACCGAACAACTCATCAAACTGCTGTTTCCTCAAGGGAGCATGGGGAAACTGACAAAGAAACTCGTACGGATCTTTATAGAATCTATTAAAAACTGGATCGAAGCCAGCCGTGGTCAGCGCATTTATCAGGCGTGTCTCAATACTGCAAAATTGAACTGGCGTTCTCCAATTGAAGCTGCTTTGCTAGATCTTTGAATATCATTGTCATTGAATGAATAATAATTATCATCTAAAAATAATATTCTTTTTTTTTCATGAGCATTAAAACTTTTCATTTGCACTCAAATAAACTAAGATTATGTTGAATTACCTTAGTCGTTGGAATAGTAATAATCAATGGAATCATTGGAAGAAAAACAGTGATTGTACATCGTGCAGAGAAATGAATCACAAATATATTTAAAAATATGAGTCTATCGATGAAAATTATAATAATCGACTTCCTTTTTCTTTTATGAATATGCAGTTCTGTTTTATTCGTTCCATATATTTGCGTATGTCGTCAATCCTATAATCATTGCATTATTCTGCGCGATTTCTCTGCATCATCGATTTAATCAAGGCGGAATAATACTCAGGTGGTGTATTTTTTTCCTCGGCAATTCTCTCTTTGAATAATGACAAGCCACGTTGCCAAAAGGAGGACAAATGAGATTTCACCGTTGACACTTCCTGAAAAAGAATACTCAAACTAATACATTGCTTGACTGTTTCTTTTCGTTGAGAGAGTGTGTGAGTGTGGGCGTGAGATATAGGTGTTGGTCTTCTTTCAACTAAACTCACACCCACGACTCTTAAAATCAATCAAAACTCCATGTTGTGGGTGTGTGGGTGTAGGTGTGTATGTGGGTGTGGGTGTGTATGTGGGTGTGGGTGTGGGTGTGGGTGTTAATATTCTTCTAAAGCATCCACATTCACACCCACACCCGATCCTTTATTAATTGTAGAGCTTTTCACGCTGCATCTTGTGGTATATTTTGTTTTTTTAATACAACCTACTAAGTGATAATAAAATGAAATGCAAAAATGTGCCACCCATTATGATCCAAATGGTACCAGCCAGTTTGCAACAAAAAACAGTTTTTATGATAATTTTATTATTATGATATCGATAGAATAGTGATCAAATAGCATAGAAAGATAGAGCAAAAGACGCTCTATCTTGTCATAAAGAAAGACATTTTTTCCAAGCAGTCTATACGAAATTAAGGTGCGGGGCTCACTACTTTTGGTATGACCAAAGTATATCTAGGTCTAGATAAAATCCTTCTTCATCGCATAGTGTTTGTGTTAACAAGTTCCACCAAGTATCGTTGACAATTCGATAAATGATGCCCACTTTGACGTGAGCACATTAGAATACGAGTAACCTGGCGATATACATTGATATTTCCACAATATGTAGTTGAAACTCACAATAAATACAACATTAAGTAGAAGAATTCTTTCCCCTGATGTCTACATATATTCCTCTATGTGTTCAAAATATTAAAGTCGCCTCTCAACTGTAATCAAACTCTTCAATTTATTCCAAAGCTTTACATATCATATGAAAGTCTCACAAATCTACTAATTGACCAGCTACTACGTTCTCCAACGAACACATCTTTTTTGTAAACAAGATTTTCAAGAAACGATGTTTTATTAATTTAACAAACTCTCGTTCGCTTATTTGTAAAAAAAGAGATCTAAAGATGAATGTTGACTTGATTTACAGTTCTTTTCAATACAACAACACATCCTTCGAATATCATCATTTTTCCCAAAATTCTAACTTTCTTTGATAAATCAATATCTGTTGTTATTTTCATAGTA